AAATGAACACCTACCCTATCTTTACAGGATGTTTTAAAACGGGCCAATTGAAGGCAAGTATCTCAAGTGTCGTTATAAAGAACCCAAAGTTTTAAATTTCAAGCAAATCTCTTCTTATATTAAAAAATCCGCCATATTGGATCCGCTAATTTGATTTTTTTTCTTCAAAAATATTATAAAAGTGTCACCGGAACTCAATACGTGTGCAACATTTCGGAAAAATTGGGATAATAGAAGTGATCAATAAAGCTGCTGCCAGATTTGCAACAAACAAAGGTATGGTAAAGTTAAATAAAATCGTTTAAAAATATAAACTATTTTTATACCGCGATATCTCTAATGGTTTACTAATGCAGTGTTTTTTATCGCTGGCAATAAGTTTTACATTAAAAATATTACTCCATAAAATATGTTGGGACATTTGTACTAAACCAATATTACAGCATCTTAAACAAATTAGCCTTTACTTTTAACTTTAACAAACTCACCTATTAAAGTTTTAAGCAGTAGTTTTATTAACTGCCGAATGATATTAATTAATTCTATACTTTTCAATTTACAACAAAAAAATAAATACGACTCTGTATACAATCAACGGAAATTTATTAAATACGTCTCTGTGTTCTACCGCTATTAAATGGCGGCCCAATTCGTGAAACGTCACGGATTTCAGCTCCAGTTAGGTTTCTGGTTGATATCTATTCTGCCTATGTCTTGAAACCATTCGACTCGATTTTCTGTCCTCCTTCATTACTGGGACGTAAATCCATAGATAAATGCAACAAGTTTAGATTGGAAAGCGCGTAAAAATTTTAGGTCGCGAAATTATTTTGGGTCGCGACCGTTATACGCGATCTGGCGCTGCTATAGCGGTCGCTAAGAACAACGGCAAACAAAAACAGAAATAATTTTCTCTTGTCAAAGTCAGAATCTTCAAAAATCATAAATCTTTCAAAATCCAAACCGCTCTCATTAAAGAAATTCCGAAAAGTTTTTATAGCGTCCATTTTCAAAGTAATTATTGCTATCTTGTGAGTTTAATTCAAGTTTTATTTACTCCAATCGGTCATAATTGTGAAAAAGTGGCATTAAAACTTAAAAAGCTGTGCTGTGAACTGTGAACTGCAAAAACCAACGTGGATCGTGACATAACGTCGGTTTCCAATGTTTCATAGGTATTTCATACATGCGTCCTTTATAAAATAAAGTTTCTTGTATGCAAACACAATGTTTTTATTTATAAAATTAAACGAAAATAATAATAAATTTGAATAAACAATATTTGGCGATATAATTCCGGAAAAAGCCGAACCGCTCCGAAATTTTCAAAAGTTTTGGGTCGCGACCGTTGCAAGAATAGCGCCAAATAGTGTTTACATTGTCCTTATGGGCACTTTCCAATCTAAACTTGTTTCATTTATCTATGCGTAAATCCTCTCATTGCTCTTATGGGGAGGCCGTCGTATATTTTATTTAAACGTATTTGGTAGAAATCTTGGTCAAAATTCGGTAGAAATCGGTAGGTTGGATATTTAACACGTAGTTTTATTAAGAAGTCCTAAAAGTAAGTCGTTTTGGGAGTATAAAAAGATGCTTGAAAAATACAAACAACACAAAATTGTATATTAAACATGAATACACAGGAGGAAACTCTTAAATAAATTAATAAATATCTTTTCGCAAAAACTGAGAATTTTTTTAATGGACGCTCTTACAAAGCCTCCCCAAGTATATACTGCCTAAAATTATTCAAAAATATGTTTTAATACTTTTGGCAATTTAATTTTTACCTAGGTACTTAATACTCATTTGGCAAAAGTCGAATTCACTAGATAAGTATATAGACAGTTTACTAAGTTTACTACTACTTATACAATTCATTTTTAGAAATTTGAGACTTTTTGATGCCTTCATCCCTAAAAAAACACAAGCTTTGCTTAGTCTGCTTTTAAGTAAATTTTATTCTTGGTTTGAGGTCAGGTGTAAATACATATTTTAGAGATTTTAATCCACTAATTATTATTTCTTGATAAAAGAAAAAAATATATTTCATGACGTTTCGACCATCAATTGACTTTTAAAAATTAGGATAAGTCTTAACAAAAATTAACAAATCTACGTTCAGGATGGAACAAGTAGAAGATTATTACTCATTATGAAAAAGACCAAGTTAATGGTCGAAACGTCATGAAATATTTTTTTTCTTTTGTCAATAAATAATAATTAATGGGTTAAATATTAATTAATGGTTATTTAAATCTCTAAAATATTTATTTACACCTGACCTCACACCAAGAATAAAATGTACTTAAAATATACTTCATAAGATCAAAGAATAATTGAAACTCGATAACGGAATAATTAGGTTTGCCAGGGACATCTATACCAAAATAAGTGTAAAAAGTAAAGAGATTACCCTTGACAAAACAAACAAACTTTTCCTGATAATAGGTGTACTGTAATTTGCGTATTTGTGATTCAAAAAAATATAACTCATTAGAAATTTCGTACAAATTCTATTACAACGTTCTTTTTTAATATCTATGACACTAAAATATTCCGAAAAATGAAAATCGGTAGAAAATATAGACTTTTCGGTAGATCGGTAGATCGGTACCAGAAATATGGAAGTGGATCGGTACATAGATTGCCAAATCGGTAGATCTACCGAAAAATCGGTAGAAGTGGGATCACTGCATAACAGTGAATATTTTGTGATTTGTGATTTGTGACTTGTGACATGACATGACATCACATGACATGAACATGAACCATAAGCAAGGATACTATAGAGATAAGGATTAATGTTGGAAAAATTCGAATTAAATAATACGACTAATTCGATAGTAAATTAAAACGGTAAAGGTGTGGATCCGGTGGCTGACCTTGAAGCCCATATTTGCTGCTTTTGATCATCGATACTACGCAAGCGCACATCGTCGATGTTGCCAAATTGCGGTTTATTTTCGAATTATTTGCAGTTGAAAATTTTTTTTGCGTGTTTTTCAATAATAATACAAATTCTATAATTAACTTTATAATTTCAGATTTATCTTGATATCCAAAATTAAGGTAAGAAGGATAATGAAGATTGTAAAATGAAAGTATTATAATATATAAAATTGTAATAATAATAACATTTATTTATATATTTACATTAGAATTAAAATTTATCATTTACGGATATTTTCTTAATGGTTTTAAACTTATTAGAATTATTTTATTTCTTTCAAGTTATTTAATTTCTAGTTATTTACAGGCAACAATATTTTTGATTATATGTATTGATGTTTTGAAGTACTACCATGACGCATCCATGACGGGTCTTATTATAGAACAATAAACGTCAATCGGAGATAGAGGTAACATTTTACCTATTATATAATGTTACTAATATAATATACTTTGATTATAAATTATAATCATGGATTATAATTAATGTTTGTATCATAATTTCTTAAAAATATCAAGTTAGTGGATTTTATCGAAGAGTGTGTTGATAAGACTAAAATAAGCTTTATGTTTTATCTTTTTCTCTTTAGAAGGGAGATGGTTTGTATCGTAGAATACATTACAGTATTTAATATCGTGTGCTTTGTTATTCTTTTCTTAATTTACTGTAATTTCTTGTTTCCTATAATGCCAAATCTTGACAATATGGTGAAGGTTGAGTTTTGATCTTATTAGTTTTATAAGAAAAATAATAATAATAGAAATACAAGACTAAATTAAGACTTAGTTTGTGATTTATATTAAGATCTTTCTTATAATATTTGTTATGTCTTCATCTTAATACTATATTATGCTTGGTCTGGAAAATAAATGTTAAAATATCTTAATTTTGCATATCCTATTCATCCTTCCATTAGGAAAAATATGGTTTATAAATATATATGCTAAGAAAATCACATAAATTAGGTGTAAGAATAGAGAAATCTTAATGTAGCAGAAAAATTAATGCAATATATGTATAAGCTGAATTAAACAAGGTAACTGTTAATGTTGCTGAAGCTGATTCTACAATTTTAATTACGGAGGCTAAAAGGCCTTTTAAGGCCTCCGTAGTTTTGATGGAATGTTAAAAAAAAATCTATTATGAACATGGAGCTACAGCATTTAAAAGTTAAAAAAAAAGAAAAAACTTGGACACATCCCTTTTAATTTCCCGAATTTTTAATAAAGCACTTTTTAAACGTAGCATAATAATCTAGATAGGAATATAGAGGTTTATTTCTATATAATTTTTTTGACTGAAAATACATAATAAGCGTTCACGTGTTGTGCGAAATATTAAAATAATATACCGCGTACTATGATTGAAAAAAAAATAGCGTCAGCAATGACTGTGAAATGAAGATCGCTGTCATTTTATGGAAATGTCCTCAATCGTCATTTCCCAGACAACTGGACGCCGTTTTTTCGATCATACGGTATATATTGACAAAAAAACACTGAAAAGCACATATTTGTTTTCTACTGAAAATAATTCCAAAATAACTCGCAATCTGGCAACATTGAAGATGTGCGCATGCGTAGTGTCTGTGACTATATGCAGCAAAAACTCGTTTCAAGGTCAGCCACCGGATCCACACCATGGTACAAAGAAAACAAGGTATGATCGATAGCGGCTCCAATTTCGTTAAGTTTGCGCATACCACCTGTGACGTCATACGCCATACAAAAAAATATTCATATTGTCCAATTGCCAGTAATAAAAATAGACCTAAAATAGGGAAGAATTAGGACATAACCCCAAAAGTTATGTCAAATCATTGAATTTGACATTTGAAAAATTATTTTCACATTTATTATGTCATCTGTGTGACAATTTGAAATTGGCGCGCGGAGCTTGCCGACCAATGGTGCCGTTTATCACCTGTGACGTAGTGACCAACCTGCGCAATATCATACCTTGTATTCTTTGTATCATGGATCCACACCATTACCATTAAAACTAACTAATTCGATTATCTTTTTCGATATAATCGAGATAAAAATTAGTAGTATTTTAAATTATATCTGTGGTAACCGAATTACAAATGAACATAAAACATAACCTCGTCTGGACGAATATTAGTAACCATCACAGAATAGTAGTAACCATTAACAGATAACAGTGTACAGAGTACAGAGACAACTACAACCTGTAAAAATACTACTGCCCATAACAAAATAGTTTAGAATATAGTCAAACGAGAAAATTTAATAAATTAACCACAAAGCGGGCCGGTTTTTTACTTGGAGGTTCTTACATTTTACAGTAAATTTGTAACTGTATTAATGGATGGTGGAGGTGACAGGTAGAGTAAAATATAAAATGTATATATATTTTTAGATGTAAGAGAATGCTAAATTCTATTTGTACCCCGTCACAATTCGTCTTCGATGCTTGGGTCGAGCCTTGTCGGGGCAAAATCATATTAAAAAACTCAATCACGATAAAAAGGTTGAAACCAAAGGAATCAAAATTCAATTCTTGTAACTAAAATAGCGGCAAATTTTTTGCCGAAAACGAATTGCAGATGCTGAGCAACAAAGCAATTAGTCGTATGAATGAGTTTTGGCACGGTCTATTATTCATCTGGTCGGGCCCTAAGGCCCAAGCAAAAATTCGGGCCCTCTTTCAAAAATTCAAGAAATTATGAATATTTTACAACCTTTAACGGGTCCCCCAGACCATGGGCCTCATGGTAAAATAGGCCCTGAGTTTTGGTTGGCTTTAGGTTCAACCTTTTTTCGTGATTGTCTTTTAATACGATGTTGCTTTCACATAAGGCAGGCGCAGGAGCATCGAAAACGAATTGTGACAGGTTACAAATAGACACTTGTCTAGAGAATAGACAATTTATTTCATTAAGCTACAAAGAAGGGTAATATACTTGTTCCATCATATTTTATTTGTATGTTTTTAAACGTTTTAGGACACTAGTTATAATAATTGCACTGTTAAAATATGGAAAGAAAATTTCTTAGTATTTTAAAAATATGAGAGCTTAAAGTTGGATTTATAAACTTTACAGTACAGTTGAGGTTCAAAATATTCAACCCTATGAAATTAATGTGCGCATTTATAAAGTCAGTTCGTCTAAAAGTTGGGAGTTCGTTTACATTCAACAGAGTTTAGAGATGGTCAACAGCTGGAGAGAACACAACAGCTATCTTCCAGCAAATATTTTCGCTGACTTGCTTTATGGCATCTCGCGGTATTCCCTAATGGCAAAAAGAAACAGAAACTTTCAGAGGTGTTAAAAAACACATTACTTTTGCACTGAAGGAGCGTTTAGCTAACCATGATAGCTAATTAAATTAGCTCATTGGCGACACGCGCAAAAGTAAAGTGTTTTGGTGTATTGTGGTGAATTAGTGTTTTATTTTGCTATAGGCGTGGTGCATTCTCCGCCGGTGCTGCCACCATCGGAGAATATCATAAACAATTAATATATACAAATACACAAGTTTAAATAGCGAGTATATGAAAAATTTATTATATAGTTATTCTAAAAGTGTTAGGAAGTATAATTTATGAAAATTCTAAAAATAAAAAAGTAAAAAATATTTTTATATTTTCAGAAGGTCTAACTTGTATTATAATCTATTATACCAGCTAAAAAAACTTTTTAAATGAGTTCAACTATGGAAGCGAGCATAGTTTTAATCACCGGTTTTGCTAGTGGGGCATAATTAGGGCTGTTTCGGCTATAACGAAATTTTTTAAAGGTACATACATAATGCGTTGATTGAAAGAATTGGGAAGATGCGCAACCTAATGGGGAAATTCGTGACAAGGCTGATTATATTTCCCCTTACGTCTCAAGTGCTGTATGGTGGCGACACCTTAATCGCTCTGCGGTCAACGTATAAAACACTTATTTTAGACAGTTAAAGTAAGGCACGATACCTAACGCAAAAACCTGCTAAACTGACAAACAAGAAAACTAACTAATTAATTTCGGCACTAGGTTACAGTTGTTGAGAAGTAACGTAGCACAACGCATTAGTAACGATTTAAATTTAACACAAGAACAAAAAATATATATATATATATATATATATATATATATATATATATATATATATATATATATATATATATATATATATATATATATATATATATATATATATATATATATATATATATATATATATATATATATATATATATATATATATATATATATATAGATATATGTATATATATAATATGTAATATACAGGGTTAGTCACCACATACGACACAGATATTGTAGCTAAACGATGAGATTTTACAAATTGTAAGTTTTGGGTCCGATGAGGGACTATTAGAGGTACAATTTAAAAATAATTTTACAAGATACAGAGTGTTCCAAATAAGTAAAAAATATCAAAGTTGTATTTTTTTTTAAATGGGAACACCCTGTATTATTACATTTTGTTTCTACGATTAAAATAAAGGTAAACTTGATTAAGATTTATTATACTTAAACCTTACCGTTTTTGAAATATTTTCAATTTTGTGAAATTGCATTAAAAATTTAGTTAATACTAAATATTTACTGAAGTTTGTTACTGATCAGTTATTGTGTTTGCAATAATAGAATGAAAATAATACTACCTTGCATACAGAGTGTCTAAAATTTATTTGAAATAATTATTAGCTTCAAACGGCACTAACTTGTTTAATCTAAAATGGAACACCCTGTATATTTTACGAGAATCAGATGCACAATTTAATCTATCAAATTAAATTATACCATTTTTACCTATCTCTTTAAGTTTCCGTAGAAAATGCATTTTCTTGTAATGTAGAACTTATTTATCAATATACCCATGGACTATTGACATTTTAGATTATTTTAAAGATGTACCAAATTTTTAAAGAGTACAGATACTAATATTGTCGATATAATTCGTTTATTTCATTAAAAAATAAAAAAAAACTGTTTAAATATTTGTTAAAGAGGTCCAATTAATATGATTCCAGTATTCAAACTACATTAACTGAGTGTTTGCGTTGATTAATAATAATTGCTCCAAATACTAAAATACTGAATTTTGTATGGGCATTAGACAGTGTGATAAAAAGTAACACCTTAAAAATGATATCTCATTTTTTAATAAATGCTTATTTATAACAACAAAGACTTTAATTTGATAACTTATTATTATATTGATTTCTGACTCAAAAATCCACATTTATTTATAATAATTTATTAACGAACACAATTAAGTATGTCATTAATTTACTAATTAATGACATACTTAATTATGGGCGGAAATAATGGTGTTATATTTAATTAATGGTATACTCTTTTATAAAGATTTAAATAGTTTTCTTTTTGCATACAAATGGGCTAGTAATATCATCGTTTCGCTAAAAACGATAATATTACTAGTCTGTACATTTTGTACATTTGTTGCTTTAAAAACAATCTAAAATGTCAGTATTCCATGGATATATTGATAAATGAGGTCTAAATTATAAGAAAATGCATTTTCTACGAAAACTTGAAGGGATAGGTAAAAAATGGTAAAATACAATTTGATAGACAATTTAATTGTGCATCTGATTCTCCTAAAATATACAGGCATTCTATTTAAATTAAAAAGTTATTGCCGTTGAAGTTAATAATTATTTAAAATAAATTACTAGACACTCTGTATAGGCAGTATTATTTTATTGCAACACAACAACTGATCAATAAATAAACTTCATTAAATATATGTATTAAAAATATTGATACCCTTGGAGAAATGAGCTTTAAAATTTTACTGCAATTTCACAAAATTGAAATATTTCAAAAACGGTAAGGTTTAAGTATAATAAATCTTAATCAAATTTACCTTTATTTTAATCGTAGAAACTAAAAATGTAATAATATACAGGGTGTTCCATTTAAAAAAATACAACTTTGATATTCTTTATTTATTTGGGACACTCTGTATCTTGTAAAAATATTTTTAAATTGTAGCTCTAATAGTCCTTCAACGAACCCCAAACTTACAATTTGTAAAAATCTCATCCTTTAGCTACAATACTCCGTGTCGTATGTGGTGAACAACCCTGTATATAAAAGGTCATATTAAATATTACGATAAAACTGCATTGAATACTTTCATTGCTGGATGCACGGGAACTCTTAAAAATAACATGCATCATAAACAACTAAATTCACTCGAAGATGCTATGGCATATGTTGTAGAATTTGAGAATTTTGAGAAATTTTATGGAAACTTAAATAACTCTCAAAATCAAAATAATTTTAGTTCGCTAAATAAACAAAATATTTTTTCCAATATACAAAATTTCTCAGGATTTCCAAATCAATAAATCAATCAAATTTTAATTTCGGAAATAACTTTAAGACTAATCCTTATCAACAAAATAATTTTAATCAAGCTAATCCAAATCGAAACAATTCTCTTTTCGGCAGATCAAATTTTAATAATTTTCAATATTCCAAATTTTAATACACGTAACAATCAATATTTTAATAATTCGGGAAGCCATACTCGTTTTCAAACCTGGCCTTCTCAACCTATTAATCTGCCTCAACCCCGACAACTACCCCCGCAAAGACATTTTATGAACAGAGAAGTTTTTGGTACACGGGGCGATATAATTATTAATAAAACCAATTTAAGTAATCTTGTAATTCCATCTACACTTACTAACTCTGAGAATGGTTTCGCGACAGTCAAAATTCAAAATCCAACTAATAAAATTGTCTCAAATAAATTTTCATAAAACTTTTATTATTTTTAATAGGGAAAATAAATCAATAAATCCATCAAATCAATCAGAAAATATAAACAAAAAGAAATTTTGTGTTTTGTGTGTTGCATCTGAAATAACAAAATTTTTATGCAAGATCAGCATTTTTTGATACCCCATACAGGGTGGCGCCTTTCATATGAGGAGGCTCCAAGGAGAACGATAGTTTGTATTGAAATGAAATTTTGTGAGCATATTATGTTGGTTAATTTAGAGCACTTTTTAAAAAATAGAGACTTCTACAGTGTCCCCAAAAAAAGTTATACATTAAAGTTTTGTTTTTTGTAATAGAACACCCTATATATTAATTGATTTTTGGATTCTAGTAGAAAAATAAAGGTGAGTTTTATTAGAGAAGTATATGACTAAAATGTAAGTTTTTTGGCTTATTTAACATTGTCTAAAAATGAAACACAATTTTTAAATTTCAATAAAAGCTACCTACATTGGAATTTACCCGGTATAGCCTAATATGTAGTTAAAATAACTATTGTACTTTAAATTAAATTAAAACTTGGCACAAAAAGTTATACAGGGTGAGACAAA